CTCTCTCTCTCTTCTTCTCCTATTCTCATCTCCTCTGCTCTATCCTCTCTCTCATCTCTCTCTCTCTCTCTCTTCTCTCTCCCTCTTCTCTCTCGTCTCGCTCGCCGTTCTCTCTCTTTCTCTCTCTCTCTCTCTCTCTCTCTCTCTCTCTCTCATCTTCGTCTCTCTCCTCTATATATATATTATATATAATATATATATATATAAATAATATTAATATAATATCAGGATGTTCATAAAGTACACATTTTCTTTGTCATTTATTAAAAAAAATTGTGTCTTTATTATCCTGATATATATATATTAATTATATATATATATATATATATATATATAATTTACTTGTGCCCGAGGAGAGCTGAAATTATACCATGTTTATATTATTCTAAAAATTCTCAATTAAGATGAGTTCTATCGCAAGCACGCAAACTGTACTCGTGGGTATACGAAGATTTTATGCGGTCATTCTTGAGTGGTAAGTATATCGGAGATCGCCCAGTCTCTACATATTTACGCCCATATCTGCTTTTACGAGCTGCTCACACCATTTTACGGACCGTTTACAAAACTGTTGATATGTATTTATGTTTCAAATAATGTGTATTCATCGGTCGTTCGCGCTCTCCGCCGAACAAAGTCAGTCGATAATATTGTGTCCGTCTGTGCGTGCGTGCGTGCGTGCGTGCGTGCGGGAGGGCGGTCGTGCGTGCGTGTGGGCGGGAGGGGGGGGGGGGCGAAATGGCGTGCGTGCGTGTGTGCGTTTGTAATATAGTTAGATAGTTAGATAGGTTTGTGTTTTTCTAAGTTGTAGTTGCAGGTAGTGCTTGGCGTGACGTACTTATGCGTTCCTTTATGTGTTGTATACGTTACATATATTTCTCCGTGTATTTAAAATCTACGAATCTCTCGAAGGCTCATTTTAGATTCCAAAAATTTGCAATCTAAAGCGCTTTCGTGACTAGCTAGAGATTTGATTAGGATTTTGTGTTCGTTTTCACTCCGCAGCTGGCTAGAGAAATAGAATACGGATTTCACTCGTTAGTTACGCTCGAAATTCGATATTCGAATTTTCGGAATCTCGAAACCAATAAGATTATGCGTTGCTTTTCACGGTGTAGCCGACCAATCAGAACAGGGATTTCAATTGGGAGTGTTACGGGGAGCCACAACCATATGGCCACAACCACTGACCTGTATGTAACTCGGGATTTATAGATCAGTGGTTGCAACTTGATGGAGCGGGGGTGAAAAATCAATTTTTCACATTTCGGATTTCGAATGAGCCTTCGGGGCGTACTTGTAACTCTTCCACCGCAGGCTCAGCGCACGTTGAGTTGCAGTTACTTACAGATAGCGGTAGGTACTTGCTGCTGCTGCTTGCTTCTACCGCCTCGCCGGCGCAGTATGTATGACCCACGTACACGCGGTACAAAACTACGCCATTGAGTCTTTACGTTTTGCTGTTGACTATATATACACCACATGCAGTACAATCCCTATCACGCGCAGAGCATAACCGTGAATCTTTTAGAGGCATTCGAGATAGCCTCGCGTGTGCGTGCGTGTGCGTGCGTGCGCGCGCGCGTCGCCGCCTCTCAACCAGTACAAGGAAATCGTGTTTATTTCGATGCGGTCGGACGTCGACTGCAAAGATTCAGCGCTCACCAGGCAATAGCGACTCTACAGTGAAACCACTCCTCGTACGAGCGGGAGAGACGCGTTGTTTATTTCGATGATTCGCCGAAATGGTCTTTGCTGAATTGTCCTTTCCTTGTTGTGTTCGTGCCGGCGGCGGGGCGTAGGGACAGGACGGTGTGGGAATGTGATGGATGAGGGCAGTGGGGGAAGGTCGGTAGGGTCGGTGGGGGAGGTCGGTAGGGCATTGCCGTTGTGGAGGGCTGTAAGGGGAGGGTGGTAAGGAGAAGGCAGTAGGGGAGGGCAATGCGGGGGGAGGGGGGAGAAAGAGAGAGAGATAGTGAGAG